ACTCGTTTGTTCATGCTTCTGTTTTCTTCAGCTTGCTTACTGGTTTTTAAGTATGTTCATCTGGTTTTTAAGCATAGTCATGAGCTTTAACAAAAACAAAACATCCCATGGTGTGCACCCTTCCCACCCTGACTACTGTCAGTACTGTCTTTTTCGTGCATGGTCTTCTGGGAGGGCCTGCTGTGCTCATTAGATCTGCACTTCTTTAACTCTTTGTCCTGGCTTCTGGCCACTTCCCGTGAAGCCCTCACCAAGGCCACCACACTAGAGTGGCCTACTGCCTTCATCTCAGGGGATCTCTCAGCATACTTCTGCATTAAGAATCTTCTTCTCTCGGTCTCTAGGTTTTCCTTCTCTCTCTGATGCCCCTCCTCCATTTCCATTACAAGTCTTTCCTTCTCTTCTTGGCATTAAAGACCAGCACCCCCCGGTACCGTCTTAGGTCCTCTTCCCCGCTGCCTCCTTTTTCTCTCCTTGGATAATATTCTTATATCGGTGGCTTCATCTGTTAGAACTTTGAAATACAGAAAGAAATAGTGTGTATTTTCCTAATATCTTTATTCATGTATCTAAATGCTTAAACACATACATTCATACACAGTTATCAGGTAGGTAAGTAGATATCCCAGGTAATATTTCTTAGAGCCTTAAGCCTATGCTTATATTTGCTAAAGGCATCTCAGATTCATTTAAAGCCAAATCTGTGATTTATCCTCTACTGCAGCCTTGGTCTTTTTGAAGTATTTGAGTCTGTATGGTTAGCTCCCTTCCCTTGTCTGCATTCAGTTATCAGTGAATCCAGTGGGCTAGCGCTCACTCTCCCTCTTGTGCACTCTCAGTCTGTCTCTGTCTCTCTGTGCGCTTTGTCTCTCTGTCTCTGTCTCCCTCTCTCTGTCTCTCTCTCTCTCTCTGTCTCTGCCTCTCTCTGTCTCTGCTTCTCTCTGTCTCTTGTCTATCTCTCTCTGTCTCCCTCTGTCTCTCTCTCTCTGAATCAAACTTATGACCTTGTGCTTGTCAGGCAGGCACTGTGCTGCTCAGCTATATCTCTAGCTCTGTTTTTTTTTTCCCCCTCTTTTTCTATATTTGTACAGTGTCTACAAGGTCTCAATACACAGATTGGACTCGTAGTGATCTCCTGTTTTCATCCTTCCAAGTGCTGGGATTACAGGCATGTGCCACCATGTCCAGTCTCAGTGCGACCCAGGGGCAGGGCTGGCATGGCGAGCTGGGGATTGAAGTCTGGCCACTGAGGCTGCCTGAGCTATCTGGCCAGCTCTTCCTGGATTTTTCTCTTAAATAGTTGTCAGGCTTGTTTTATTGTCCTCTTTTGCCACTGTTCACCCATCCTGAAGCATCATCCTTTTTAGACCTAGATGGCTGTGTCAACCCTTGCATTTTCTCTGTACTTCTACTTGTATTCTTCTTTTGTTGTTCTTCAGTCAGTCAAGAGAATGATCTTTCTGAAACTAATCATGTGCAATTGCGGAGTTTTCTGATTACACCTAGATAAAACAGAAGGTGTTTTACCACATCCTAAAGGATTTGGGGTTTTCACTCCTTCCCTCTGTCAAGTCTTACCTTGTGCACTAATATTCTTTATTCCCCCTTCAGGCCACATGGCCAGCTTCCCGTCCCTCATCATTGCCATCACTCTTTCTTAACACAGGACCTTCATGTGTGTCTTTCTCTCCACCCACCCGCAGAGCTCATCTAAGGCACCACTTCCCTTGGGGAACACAATCTTAGCTGCTTTGCCACAGGCCACATCCTCTTGCTCTGTGAGCCCTGAGTGTGGCTCTTTCCTTCAGTTGCAGCTTTGGTTTGTCTTGTTTGCATTGCTGAGACAAAATACTTGCACCCAAAGTTAAAGGAGGAAAAGTTTATTTAGCTCACAGCTTGCAGAGGTTTCAGTCCATAATTAGCTGGCTCCAAGTCAGGGTGGCATGGGAGCCAGGCATCATAGAGCAGAAATGGTTTATGGTGGGCTGAAGGTAGCAGAGCAACAGTTATGGGACCTTCACTGTGGCTTTCTGCCTCTTTTATGTCATATTTAGGCTACCAGGATTAGGACTGTGCCAAACTAATCTGTGGAGTGATTGGTCATCACACACCCTTAGCCATAGCATCACACACTTTAGATCCAGCCAGCTCAAAAAAAACCCCAGCTTTGACCCCATGAGGCTTGGGGGAGCATCTAGACACAGGCCATGTCAGTGTCCAATCACTCGATTACTGATTCTGACTACTTGGTTACATACCTCCCTCTCCTGTTCTCAGTTTAAGCTCCACAAGGAAAACCATATTCTGTATCTGGTGTACTCACCTGTGTGTTCTCACAATGACTAGTGTTCAGTAAGGATTCATTAAGGATTCACTGAATCAATGAATAAACAGCAACATGGTGTAAAAATGATGAAATATTTTAAATTCAGTTTTTATTGACTAAAAGGTCCATAGAGGAAGGGGAGACAAACCTTGCTTAACACAGCCTCTTCACCTGCCAGCGCTTTGACACACATTACTTGGATGAAAATAATGAATTGTCATGGATAGTTGTGAACTCCTTAAAGGGCTTGTTAATGTGAATTTTTTTTGCAAATACCATGGGTGGCATGATTATTTTCAGTGATTTATTATGACTTGAAATATGTCTTTGAAATACTATTCTATTTTTCTATTAACATATTTTAGCAATTTTGAGCTTGCATGGCTGGGCATTTGATTAACAGGGAAAGAAAGAATAAGATCAGATATAATTAACACCTGGGGCTTGATTGCCTTATTAATCTCTAATGTAACTTAAAAGCATAAATATACATAGATCCTAGACATGGCCGCTTACCTTTTGACTTTCAGTGAGGCACATAGCTGAGTCTTAGTTGTAAAAAGCTTGGGAAATCCTTTTCTTAATTATAGTAATGGAGCCTTCCCATTATTGGAAAATGCATGCATGCTATTGCACATGACAGGGATAAGTTGATAGGTGAACAGGTAAGAGCCTCCCGTGGACTTCTGGGTCTGCTGAAACTGGCTTCTGCTTTTCAAATTGGCTCCTTTTCTGCTAGATAAAGACAAGCACTGAAACCAGACTTGAGTTTCTCTCTCGTGATGATCTGGGTGAGTTAGGTCCAGCCACCCTGCACAGGTAGCGAGTGACCTGGCTGAAGCTCAGAAATGTGTGCCTTGGTTTTAGATGTGACCCGCAAGGTTCTGGTACAAGTGTCCTTCAGGCAAGAGGCTGGTGCCTGTGGTCAGCCTTGTCGGAGGCCTTGTCCACGGGGGGCAGCCTTCAGCAGCCCATGGACTTAGGCTGAATGGCAGCAGAGATATGCTGATACTCCAGCTTCACATTTGACCATGGTTACTAGAAAGAAATCCAGAGTTGTATGTGAAATCATTAAGTTTTCAACTATTGGCAACTGATCTTTATGGGACACAGAAAACATGCCTACAAGTTGAGTTTTATCACTGTTCACCAGTTTGTGAACTCTGGTCAAAGGTATTTATCCTGCTGTCCCGACCTATACTGGCTGTTTCTGCTGTATCTTTCCAGTGTCAATTCTTGCATTTGTTTAGACATCCTGTATGCTGGGTGGACTCACTCTACTCTGATGCCCACAAAACAGGCCACGCTCCTGTCTGACCCCAGCCTCTCCTTGCCCTTCCCCCACGGAGCACATCTGTGTCCTCTGTTGCCCAGTGGGACCAGCCACAGTGCTTAGAACACAAGTCTGTGTCTAGCTGTTCCAGCTTGGACTGTCATTAAGGTGGTGGAGGTGATCACACTCATTGTACTGTACTTTTCTGGGTAAAGACTAAACAAGGATTGGAGTTGGGGAGGTAGCTCGGCAGTCTAAGTGCCTGCCTGGTTAGCGCAGGGACCCAGGTTCCCTACCTGGTACTGCATGCCGAGCTGGCCCCTGTGCCGTGCCAGCTACTGAAATGGGCACACACCTATAATCCCAGCACTGGGGAGGCTGAAACAGGAGGCTCACTATGAGTCTGAACTGCCACAGTGAGATCCTGTGCCAAATACATAAATAATTAAAGATTAAAAAATGAAAATTAAAGAAAAGACTAAACATGGGGATTTGTCTAGGGATGTTGTCAATAGACACTTGGGTGTGGTAGGATTGTATAGGAAGCAGATCACTTCTGCAGGGTTGCTTTTCCTACTTCCTATAACAGAGAGCTCATGGCCCTCCAGCCCTCCTGGGCTAGCTTTGAGCACAAGAAAGCTGAGAAGGGGTTTGTTTGCGTAAGCAAACTGAAATCTCCCCCACCTTCCCTTGCCAAGCAAGCCCTTGACTTTGTTATCCTTGTGTATGTGCTTGAAAGCTTTTGCCTTGCGTGCAGTTGCTTTCTGAGTAAGGAGCCTTTCTTAAATGTCTAGTAAGGGCAAAGGAGCTTTCTGGTTTCTAAAGTGTCTGATATGGTCATCTAAATTTTAATGGGGTTTTGATGAGATTAGTTAGTGCATTTCCTTGAAAATAGATGATGTATGTAGAAAGGTTCTTTCCTGTCAAACTTTGAGGGTCATTTTGTGATAGTTACCTAAACTGTGCCAATTTCACTGCTTCCTACTGAAAGCACTTTTCTCTGAGATTTCTACTTTTATCAGCATTAACAGACATTTACTAAAGTTGTAACCATATGCTTTGGTTGATGTTAGATCTCTTTAGAGAACTGTTTTTCCTCCTTCCAAACAATCAAAAGTCTAATTACCTCTATATTAGGCTTTGAATCTCATAATGAGTCGTGAGACTTAGATACTTTATTTCTTTGTAGATTATCATGAGTATTGTGACATCCAGCTGTAAAAATAAAAGTATTCATAGATTTAAAATTTAGCTTATGTAAGTACACTTTGGAAACTAAACTTTCCCTTGTTATTTTATAATATCCTGGAAATTTAATGTCCACTGTCGTGTTCCATCATATTTTGGTGTCATCAGCTGACCAAACTGCTGACCAAGTCATTGCCGCTTTTCTGTTTTCAGGTGCTGTGATTCTCTTGGGAAGAACCAATATGTTTCGTTTTAATCACCCAAAGGAAGCTGCCAAGCTCAGGGAAAAGAGGAAGGTGAGGATGCGCCATTTCTGGAGGGAACTTCCTGTCTGGAGTGGGGATATGGGTGTCCCCAGTGGTTGCTCTGGAAAGGTAGCTCTGTGAGCTGGTTGGTGTTGGCAGCTTGCTTGCTGGCAGGTGATTGGCTGATGAAGTAGGAGAGCAACAGTGTGGGGCCCAGAGCAGGGCAAAGTGTGGCCGAGCCCTCTGTCAGAACCTGCTCTTCAGCTTTCCTCTCCTCCTCCAATTAACTGAGCATCACTTTGGATTAAGTGGAGAGTGACTTTCACTTACCAGCATCCATCTGAGCAAATAATCCAAAATAGGAATCACTTTCTTCCCAAGTCAGCTGGGTAAATTGGATTTTTCACTGGGATGTGAAGCAGACAGGGCTGAGTTAGGACAATTTGGAGCAGCTTGGCCTGGTGGGATGGGGCCATCTAAGGTATCCACAGGAGGAGGTGGCCTGAGAACCAGAGGAGCAAGGGAAGAAGTCAGAAGGGAAGACAGCTGCCACAGCATCTTGGCCGGCCCTCAGATTGACAAAGGCAGTAAGGACCACAGCTGATGGCTGTGTGTGCTGGAGCTGTGCTTGTGTTCTGCACATATTCTGCCACTTTTATCTGCACAGCTATGTTGTCCCACCCATGCTGAGAAACTGGATGAAGGCAGACTTCCCCTAACTTTCTTTGCCCTGATCATGCAGTTACAGAGCCTCTTGACTTAGTCTGCTTCTGAGGCTGCCTATGGTCACGAGCACTTATGTGGAAATGTGGACAGAGCTGCAAGCCCAGCCTTTCCAGGGCTGCTAGCCTGGCCACTAAAGCCCTTGTCTGTTCCAGTGTAGGGCCATCCTGCAGGGTCCTTTCTGGAAGTTTCAGAGGGAGGAAAACATGTTTGCCAAGAGCTCTCATTGGAAGCCTAGTGGGTCAAGCTCTTACATCTCGGTCCTCTCCCCTCTCCCTGCCTTTGTCCCTCAGTTAGTGTGAGTGAGCACCACTGATGGCTGGGGCTACTGTTTGCTGCACAGTGGGGGTCCTGAACATGCTGTGCCTCTTCCTCCACTGTAACTGCGTGTACGCTGCCATAGAGTTTGAGTCTCCCCAGGGCTAGACTACTAGGACCTGTGTGCTTCACATTTCCACTTCGGGTGTGGGAAGTGCAGGGCCTCAGCTGTCCCTGCTGCTGTCTTCAGGTAGACCTGTTGCTCTGGGCATTAACAGGAGTGCATGCAGCTTGTTGCCCTTGAAAGCTGAAGGCAGTGAGTCCAGAGCACTGGCCTCCTCTGAGCCACCACGGTAACTGCTCTGCCCTGTGTCTGCTCTTAGAGTGGCCTTCTGTCCTCCTTCAGCTTGTCCATGACTGACCTCTCGAAGTCCTGTGAGAACCTGTCCGCGGTCATGTTGTACAACCCTGGGTGAGTGAACGGCTTCCCTGTGATTACAACTTCTGCAACAGCACCCCCTTAGCACATCAGCTACAGTCATTTTCCTAATTCCTTTCCAGCCCTTACTATAGGTATACTACATAATTTTACTTAGTTAAAAATCATACTATAAATGAGATTATGTTTTCTGGTCTTTTTGTTTAACCATCTAATAAGCATTGGCAAGGGTTGTTCCAAGCTTCATTATCATTTTTCTAACTGTCTAATATTTTGGAGTTGACACTTTGATTACTCAGTGCACGATCCCTTTGGCACTGGGATATGCTTTTATCTCATTTTATAAATTACTTTTAATACCAGACAGCCTTTATTCTTAGTCTCCAGTATATCGTCCAGGAAATTGTCTTCACTGCTTTTGAACACACAGCAGAGGCACTGCTGAGGACACGGAGGAGAGTGTTTCAGCCGGCTTAGTGGCTGGGTGACAGGCATGGTCAGCTTGGCTGTTCAGGCTCTCCACGGCCTCAGGAAGATGGTAGTGATTAGGCAAACACATGGGAATAGGAAGCTGGACAAAGGACTTTAGAGGTTCTTTCCAGTTTGGGGGGGGTTCAGTAATTTTATCTTTCCTATCAGGAAAATCACATATAAAGTAATAGAGCTGCATAAGTAGCTGAGAATGAGTGGAAGGAGGTCTTCCGGGGCTGGTGTGTGTAGGGTACTGTGCTGAGTACCCTGCTACGCACAGGCATCCTTCCTCCCTAGACCTCTCCATGACTGGACCATTTACTTTTGGGGAAGGGTGCACACGTGCACTTGCTCTGCTGTGGTTGGAGCTGTGCTGCCTGTCCAGGCCTGTGTGACTGTGCCTTGGCTGCTTCACTCCTGACTCACTCTACTCGGGGTCCTTGTATGACCAGGCCCCTGACTGGGCACTTCCCATGGTCCCCAGCCCTGTCTCCCACAGCTCAGCTCTGCTGGGACTCTGAGTTGTAGAAAGCGGGGACCTGCACAGAATTGCTCACTCTGTAGGAGGGGCCTTGGACCTGGGCTCTGCATCTGACAGGTTGCAGGCTGAAGCCCAGGTTCTGTGCCTTGCTGGAAGCAACAAAGAAGAGCCAGTTGGTGCAGCTCCAAGGCACAGCAGTTGTGCCTTGTGCCGCCTCTACTTTCACAGCCTTTTCATCTTGTTATGTGGGGATTGAGGACCACTGTGCACACTGAATGAGTCCCTCCTTAAATAAGTCATCGTATCAGTAAGAACTATGAGAGGAGAGAATCTGTGTAAGGAATGGGGCGACCAGTACTTCAAAAAGCATGTTTGGTGGGCTCTGTGACTCCACATGGCAGTTTTAATAGCTACCTTTTGCAGTGACTAAGGTTGAGCCGCTTGTTTGCTTATGTCATTTACTATAAAGTGATATGCACGTCTTGAGGGGCAGGCTCAGCTCACCCTGTGTGACGCTGTCTCATCAGTTTGTGCTGTAGCGAAAAGTACTTGGCTTCCTCTCCCAGGCTGGGACCCAGCTAGGCCTGAGTCTGGCTGCTACCTTGCTGGCCTCAGTTTAATCTGGAGCCATTTGCAAATGCGATGCAGCTGTTTCATACCTTTGAAATTCAAGAAGTCATCTTCATTCAACCTCTGCTGGAGACACAGGGTCACTAACTGCAAGTCTGTTTTTTTCACATTTACACGTGAGCAAAATTGAGGGCCTTTTTTTCTACCCCAAACACAGGAAAATGTACAGTCTTCTTAGAAGTGATGTCATCTTTTTATTGTTTGTCTTTGAGTTCATGTAGCTGTTCTCAGTGTTTGTGAAAAGCAAGTGAGAACACACTGGTCTCAGCATCAGAACATTCGCTGACTTTCTGTGTTCTCAGACATAGTTTCCATCCTGTGCTTTACCAACTCTGTGCTCCTCTCTGAGGCATCTCCCAGGTGTTCTGGCCACTCCAGGGACTGATCTCAGGACTCAGACACACCTAGACTGGCCTGTGTCTTTGGGGATGTTCTGTGCATGGTTCAGGGTCTGGGGTGTGTTTGCGCTTTGTAGTCTCCTCTCAGTCAAACATCAGTGTCCCTCTGCACTGTGCATTGCACATTGCTGCCATCCTTATTAGGTTCTTCTTGGTAATGGCCTTCTTCTGTCAGCAAATCCTTCCTGAGCCTGCTGTGAAACACAGTTCTAAGTTGCAGATGATGCTGGCCAGGTCAGTTTACATAACTGATAGAAGAGAGAAGCAATCAGCAGGTAGTTGAAAAATACATCCTAAAAGTAGTATGAAATAACAGGTCTTGGGGGCAGTTCTGTGGTGTTCAGGGAGATTCCTGAGGAGAGGACACTTGATCTGAGACTTGATTGGAGTGAAGGTAATACTCATAAAGCTGAACGAGGAGAGTGGAGAGGGACGTGTGTCCAGGTAGAGGTCAGGGTGAGTGCTGCAGCATCAGAATGGGAGGTGGAAAGCAAGTGGGAATGGGTGGAGAGGAGTCCAGGAGGAGGCTTGGAGAAGGTGTGGTTGGGCAGTGCAGGGCCATCTGTTGCACCCCGTCAGTCAGCCATTGAAGTCTGGGAAGCCCTGGGAAGGCTTCAGTCAGGAGAGTGTAGAAAGCGGGGTGTGGCCTGTGGAGACTATGTCGCAGAAATGGGAGGCTATTTAGAACACTATTGCTGTAGGCCCAGGGAGGGAGAATGGTGCATGGGGCCTGGGTTTTCTCCACAGAGACAGAGCAAGGTGGAGTGGAGAGTTTATGGAGTGAGGGCACAGGTAAGGTGCTCCCTTTCCTGAGAGTAGGGCAGTCAGAGGTGAGAATTCTGCTTTCTGTTAGATTGGAAGTCTTTCGAGGTCAAGGACTTCACCTTACTCATTTCTGTGTTTTAAAATGTCAGTCATATAATGTGATTAATAAAAATTTAGCAAATGGATTTAAGAATGAAATTTTAGTAAAACATATGGGTCCTTTGGGGAAAGCTTATTCTTTCTTTTTTCTTTTGGCCCACTCAGCCCACCTTGAGGGCAGGGCTGGTGTGACATGTGGTACCAGAGATCGAATCACAGTCTCCTGCGCCTACCTAAGCATGCCTCAGCAGGCACTTTAGACTGCTGAGCTGTCTCACCAGCCCCAGCCTTTTCTTTTTAATTAAGTTTTCTAAACATGGATGGTCTAAAATGTTGAAGCGAGCATGGTATGCAGAAGAATGTGTTTTTGTGACATGGGTGTAGGCCCGGATGACAGTGCTCTTATTTGAGCAATCTCAAGGTCATGTTTAGGAGTCTTAAACAAAAGGTAGAAGGATGGGTTTGTGAGGAAATAGAGAATTAGGCACAGGCAATCAGAGCCCACCTCAGGATCAGTCTGTTTTAGAGTAGATTGCAGTTGGCTGAGGAAATGGCACCGGATTTATCTGACACTACCATCACCCATCCCATTCACCTGGCTTCTGTTAACACACACATTTTTGTCCCTGCTACCTCTGCAATGCTTGTTGGTACAAATTCAAGCAAAAGTCATTTAATAGTTCATCATGCCTTCCTTCTCCCTGGCTTCCAGCCCCCCTCAACTTGCCACCTGCTATAGAGAAATGATTACCTGTGAATTAAAATATAATTGGAGAAAAATTGCTTAGTCTGATTTATGGGAAGCAGACATCTTGTGAAGTTGTCGGCTGCAGCTACTGGGCAAAATGAAGCAGAAGTAGAGCTGTACTCATGGTGCTTATCTATTTAATTTTCTTTTGATGTTACAGGTATAAATACCTTCATTCTAAATAAGATACTATGCAACAAACTGGAAGAACATTGAAAGAAATGTGTTGAGTACTTGAGCCCTGGCTTATTAATTTTTGAATTCAGATATTAAGCTGCTAGACCCAGTGTGTACTTGTTTCTGAGGGTGGAAATACAGGACTGAGGTACTTGGGCAGAGCAGTGTGTGTTTGTTAAGGTTCTGCTATGCACCACCAGTCTGTTAAGTGTCAGGCACAGACTATAGAGAGCTGGAGAGAGCGGCATGTGCTGGGAGCACTCCAAGAGTGGTGCGTGAGGAGCCAGTTGGTTTTCTGGGATGTTGGGGCAGGGATGGGGCAAGGTGAAACGCCTAGGAAGGGATTGTCTTCCTGGTGCCAGGGCTCCTGTGGGTATCCGTGCCATGACGTGTTGGGTGACTAAGAAGCCAGATGTCTTAGACTTCTAGGAGGAATCTTTATCAACATGGAGCTCACCTCCAGCCACATCATAGAATCCGTGTTAATCTCCCAGGAGCCCATTTGTTCTCAACTGCATAGAGGTACACCACTTTTCCCTATCCTAACATCTTCCTCAATTTCTGTCTGGTGTGGATCGCTTGTGTAGTGCAACAGCAGCTTAGGAGGAGTAGCTAGAAGCCTTGTCCAGAGGAGGGTGATGCAGAGGGCATGGCAGGTTCCATGGGGCCTTGAGTAAAAGCTGTGCTGAAGTCTATGGTCTGGTCCTTTCCTCTTTGTGGGTGTGGACATACAGAAAACAAACCTGCCCTGCTTGGAGTGGATGGAAGAATGCTAACTGGATGTGACCCTGGACCTTCACTGCCTGAAATCACTCGCCTCTGTTCTTCTGGTGGATTTTCTCCAAGACCCACCAGTGACTGCTATGCAAGTAGGACAGGCAGACTGCAGAGGAGATCCGCTGGGGAAAGGAAGTTTCATGAGCAAACCAGATGGAGGCTTGGAGAGAGCCATGCGGAGGGTCAGGAAGAGATAAGAGGACTCTGTGGGCCGAATCCTGGCTGGGTAGAGCTCTGAAAGCCAGGCACTGACTCTTTAGTTTGCTTTGATAAACGAGGAGAGCTGCTCCTTGGGGAGATGTGCCTTTGGATATGGGCAGGTAGATTAGAGGTAGGAGACAGACTGTAGCTCAGGATCTGCAGCCACGTACATATACTGCATATGTGGAGCGTTTTGATACTTCTAGCCAGCTTGGTTTTTGGTTAGTTCTTTTCAGCTTGCCAGCTTGTTTTTAAAGCATGTTCACAATTTGTGATGAAAATATGG